AACAAGACGACCAGTAATCCGACTGGCGGCATTGATTGAAGATGCAAAAGCCATGTGGCATGGCAATGGTCTCGACCAGAGCCGAGTCTGTAACGCTGATCTTACGTACCAGGTACCCAACATCACGAAAAGTCGGTTCTATGAGAGAGCAAATGTTCATTGATTGATCCTAGTGCAACTCCACCAGGTGATCTCATCCATGAGACCCTGACTGATGGCCAGATAATAACTACAAGTAACGGATAAGGTGCCCGTGGGCTACCTGTGGGTAAAGTGCTACCAAATATCAAATCCCTTCCACTGAATATAAAGTCCGACCGCCTGTCCTTCAGGCTTTTCCGGCCCACGCACGCCCATGTCCTTTGCTGGAAGCAGGTCGCTGAAGTAGTAGAGTAGGTATATACACTTGACCGCGTACCGCAGAACAACACAAACAAAAAGGCCGTCGGCCACCCGCCTTCATTTAGCGACCTGGGCCGTGAAGAGAGTTCTTCAACAACTCGTACATCTCATTGTCGCCAGGAGAATAACTATGGCCCGTCATGTTAAGAGAACCATGCTGCTGCTGGTATGCTTGATTGGAGGTGTTGGACCCGCTGCCGTAATTGGCGGAAGTGGTACCTCTCGTGGCATAGCCCCCAGCGACATTGGCTGGCGTGAAAGAAGTGTTAGATCCCGAGCCAAAACCATACCAGTTGTGTTGGTCTGGTTGAGCTGATTGCTGCTGCGTCTGGTTTGCGTAAGATCCATACGATTGTGTCTGCTGCGGCTGCGACTGTGACTGCTGCTGTTGAGGCTGCTGATTTGCGTTCCGAGAGGACGATCTTGGCTGAGTGCTGTTCGCTGCTGAACTTCGCATGTTAAACGACTGCAGGGAGGACGACTGCTGCTGGTTCGTCGGTGGCTGTTGAGCATATGTGTTTGCCGCGGCCGTGGTGTTGGTATTATTATATGATTGCGTGTTGCGCGATTGTGACTGGCTGTTGTACAACTGTCCGGACCGCGCGTTGCCGCTGGATGTGTGAGAGGCAGTGGTGTTGGTTCTGTCATGGTCATACGAAGGGTAGGTGGTTGTTGTTGCAGAGGTATTCTGCGCCGCGTAAGGCTGGTAGGCGAGTCTTGTGGTGTCCAACTCTGTCGAATTATTGCTCTGGCTTGAGTACTTCGTATGGTAGTTGTTGTAGTCGGACACGTTGCTCATGGATTGGGTATCATTGTAAGTTGCTGAGTCCATCGTCGCTGAAGTCGATGGTTGGACGGTATGATGGGACGGTGTTGCACGGGGTTCATTGACGGGAGTACGAGTGGAGGCTCTCTGTCCAGCTCGACTCTTAGTTCGGGCTGCTTGTACAGGGGCCTGGAATGGCGAGACCTGAGCCGGGGTAACTGTTTGCACTACTTGAGCTGCTTGCTGAGTCGGGGAAGGACGGTGTTGCCGTTGTTGCTGTGCAGCAGCATGAGCCACAGCCTGTTGCGTGTTGCGATAGGATGTTTCCTGGGGAGCGACCGTGGTCGCAGCCGGCATCTGGGTCGAACTTCGCGGCCTGTGTTGCTTAGTCGTCATGGTAGGCGAAACTGTGTTCGCTGTCCGGGGAGGAGAAATGCTTTGCCAGTTTTGTGCGTAACTGGGAAGAGGAACAGGGCTTTCGGCCGTGGGCTGATGCGGCTGTCCTGGTCCGGATGGCAAACTGCGCCGTGAAGAGATCCTCGTCGCTCTCGGGCTCTTAGCCGAGGGTTGGGAGTAATTGAGACTCGACATTGTGTCATTGCTGGCGGTTGTATAACTGTTCGCATCTGTACTCGGTTGAGTGTACGTTGCCGTGCCGGTAAGAGACGGTTGCGAAAAGCTCGTGGAGACTGCCTGCTGCTCTGCGTAAGTTGCGGTGGCAGAAGGCTCGGGGTATGATGAGACACCGTGTGACATGTTCATATCGTTGGAAGCGGAATGAGTATAGGCCATTTCGTTTGGCCCATCATTGAAGTAGTCCTGACTGGGAGCCTGCGCAGCAGGAGTGAGCATGTTGGCAACTGGCATGTTTGAAGTGTAGTCGATCGTCTCAATGTCGTCCGGTTCTTGTTCTTCAACTTCGATCTCAGGCTCCGCCGGTTCGGTCTCGGCTTCAACCTCGGCCTCGGCGTCGTCATCGTCCTCCTCGTCCTCCACTACATCTGCAGACTTTTCTTCCTTTTTCTTTGGTGGCATTTTATTAATCAGGGGATATTGGCATTCCACACCCTGCTCTTCACAAGAAGCGCACTCAGGCTTGGCGCGATCGCACTGGAACAAATTAGTCTCTCTAACTAGACAGCTCAACGAAACAGATTCACGTACCTTGGCCTTTGCTCTTCTGCAAGCAATGCATCCACCCCTCGAAATCAGCTTCATCGGCGTGCCTGGGGGTGCCGGAATCAACTCCACTTCTACCGCGTCTTCAGCGGCCTTCGACTTTCGAGGCCGCTTCTTCTTCTTGCCTGAGGCTGGAGATTCCAATGTGGCAGTCGTGACAGCGGCCTGTTGTGCTGTTTCCTGCTGAGGCGTGGGTGACGCGCTGGTCGAGGACGCAGCGGCATCATTGGGATGAACGATGCGGAGTCGCTCAGCACCATACTTGACCAGCATGGCAAGTGACTCTTTCTGAAGATCCGGAGATTGGTTGGCAAAGATACTGAACTGTTCCGTAGAAAGACTCTCGGGATCTAAGCCGCTGTCGCTGAGGAGTCTGATGGCGACCTCGCGGCGCCTAGCCGCTTCGCCGGGGGGCACATTCAGCACCGCATGTGAATGCACTCCACTTTGAACGGCGGCATCCGCCTTGGTCGGAACAGTGGTTGTTGCCTCGCCGTTGGTAGTGTCTCCAGCTGCTTGTGCGTCCTTTGCGGCTTCAGATTTCCTCTTCCTCTTCTTCGGTTGAACAGGCGTCCCATCTGGATTCAACGCCTCGCTCTTCCTCTTTCTCTTTGGCTTTGGCTCAACAGGCGTCCCGTCCGGATTCAATGCCTCGCTCTTTCGCTTCCGCGGCGTTTTCGCCTTCTTGGACTTTTCCCCCGCGGGAATGAGAGGTGCTGGAGGTGCTGCCGGAGGAAGGGGTTTGAAGTGCTCGATCATCTCTCCCAAAGTCTTGTGCAGAGGCGTGTGTTCGTACTTGACGTTGATGGTCCGGGTATTCTTTGAAAACGCAACGGTAAGCGTCCCGCGACAGTCGAAAGCTGGTCGGGCTAGGTGGCTGTTAGCAGATAGAACATGCACGCCCGGAGACACAATATCCTACCCTGCATTTCCGGCTCAAGCTCCTTCTGACTATACTCTCCTATGATAGTCTTATTTGGCGTCTTCTGATGTTGCCGGTTCCAAGTCACGAGAGAGTCTTTGCAGTTGTAGGTGAAGGACCACCCGTACTGGCCGCGCGAAACCTCTCTGACGACCCATGTGCTCTCATCCACCACAGAAAGAAGCCCAACAATATGCTTCGCCACGGCTCTCTGCATCACGGGGTTGTCGTGGGGCTGGCTGATGATGGTGTCGTAGGCGCGTATAATCTTGACGGTTTGACCTTCGACGACCTGAGTTCGGAGGCCGCTCAGCGCTGAGTCGATATTTTCCTGCGCATCGCTCTCGCCATCGCGAATGGCGAATTCGAGGGTAGAGGGCACTTCGAGTGTGACTGAAAGATGTTCGCATCGTGTGGGTGTCTTCTTTCGGTCGATTTCGCGACGGAGTTGGGCGGGGATGTCATCGGGATGCGCAATTGACGGCTTATTCCTCGACGCGCTTCCGTATGAGGGCGCGAGGCCCAGCAAGGCCTCAGCCATGGTCGACTGCGGCTTCTGTCTTTGATCTCTATGGATCGACGCGGCAAGGCCGCAAAGTCGCGTTTTCGCAGTGGGCGATTGTTGGGTTGTGACGGAACAACGTTGGAGAGAGCCGAGTGACGCTTTGGTTGGAGTCGTTGGCTGGTATAGAGGCTGGGGGCGCGAAAGCGCGGTTCCGCGTCCTTCAGAAGAGTGGCGGGGGGTTTCCCAGAGTGGAGAATGGGATGGGGTGCACGTAGCACCTCCAGCACTACTACTCGGACTTGGCTGCTGACCAATTAGCATTGGCGAAGCTTAAGGCACGGTTCCCGTAAACATACCTTTTCGTCGTCAGTCTCCATTTGGTGAGTAGCTCCGATAGCAGTTGCCAACAACGGAGTATCTCCTGATACCGCCGCCATTTTTATGATGCTGCGGCCAAGGGCGAGTGAAGTGGCTCGTGGAACCCTTTTCTCTTTTTTCTTGCTAGAGCTATTGGAAGAGCAAAAATTGACAGACGACGGAAAGGTGACCGTGGAAGAAAGGTTGGGGTGCTTGACAATATGGAGGCGCGAAAGCCTCACGTTGGTGGTGCGAGACGAATAGTGTAAATGGCAGGTCGCCAAGTGGGGGAAAAGTAGGTAAGTAGGCAGAAAGCCTGACACTCGCAAGTCGAAGTTGAAGTCATTCAGGAAAGTTCTCTGTGGATAAGGGAGCCTGAATAATCGTGCAGCCTCATCAGCGAGGCTTCGACAATCCAGTAATTATTCATATCCCACTCCTTCCTCGAGGCACCTACCACTGAGGCAATAAGCACCTGACCTTCTGGACAAGAAGTGATGCGACGCACACACACCTCCCTCAGAAGAAACATCGGCCTGGATGCATCGTTCGTCTCTGTTACCTGGATCTTGCCGCCTCATTATCAACTCAATACCGTGCGATCATGAGTCTTGTCAAGGATATGTGTATGACAGATTTGGCCATGAGTGTATTCATATCAGAGCCGTGACCTTTATTTATACCCTCTATCTCAATCATGCCACGTAATTTCACTAGCAAAGCAGGCGGAACCAGACGAGTGGGATTATGAAATTCTCATTTGTGACTACATAAAAAAGGGCCAATACCAAGTAGGCATTGAGTTATTAGAGAGAGCTCATACTCCCAAGGGTATCAATGGTATACAAGTGACAGGTAAAGCACGAGCTTTAGTAGTAAATCTTCTCGTCCCAGATGGGAGGTCTGGCGCCCTCAGAATCCCAAACAAGCTTGTTCTTCTCATCCAACGTGCAGCCCTCATCGGTGATAGGGATAATCTTGCTAGTCTGAGCAATCTCGTACTTGGAAACACCGGCGGCGTCCTCAGGAATCCAGAGAAGAGGAGGCAGGCTTGAGACTGAAGGTGGGTAGTAGGCGTTATCCTGAATGTTGCCAGGGTACATCTCGTCAATCTGTGTGGGGTCGTGGGGAACAAGGGTGCGAAGGTGAAGATAGTCGGCAAAGATCCACGGCTTGAGGAAGCGGGTAACAATGTTACCGCCCTTCTCAACAACATTCTCGTCACCTCCAGGGGCGAACTTCTTGATGTTGGGGATCTTCTTCATGAAGCCGCTCGAATCGCCGTTCTGCTCCTCAGAAACGCCTCTGCCGGAATCCTTGCGGTCGATGCCCTCAATGTCGGCACTCAGCGACTCTTCCTCGACCTGCAGGGATCTGGGAAGAGTGTACAAGAGAGGGTCCAAGACGCTGTTCAGAGTGAGGTGGAAGAGGATGGAGAAGATGAGGAAGACGATCATGAGGACAAGGGGTCCAAAAGCCTTCGACACGGAAAACAAACCCACAAGGCAGATCTCTGCCAGGTAGACACCAGCAAAGAGCTGCTTGAGGGCGCGGGGGTACAAAAGACCCTTGGTGTCAATCTTGGTGTCCGTGACGAACAGAATGTTGTAACGGTAAGAAAGATAGAACAAGCCAATGCCAATGGTGGAGAAGAACAGCATCAGAGGAGCGATAAGAGCGTAGGTGATGCCTGTTTAAAGTTAGCAAGAAAACTAGGATTGAGATGGAAGTGCAGGAACTTACTGATGACAGCAATGGTAGTGTAAACAGGGAGGACGCTTCCCCACGAGATAGCAGCAAGAGTGGACCACTTGTTGTACAAAGCTCTGGGCGTATTGGTGAGGAACTTCAGAATGGCCACGAAGATGGCAAATGCAACCACCTGGGTCAAAACACCGGTGGCGAGGGTAACACCCTGGAGGATGAAGTAGCTGACGTAGAAGCTGGAGGATTTGGGAATTGCCGTGGACAGGGTGCTGAAGATGGAGCCCGGGTTGTTTGAAATTGCCTGAATGGTCGCTACAGCAGACGAGGAGACAGTCGTAATAAGAAAGACCTGAATGAGCTGGAACCAGTAGTACGCGTTCTGGGTGAAAAGCTCGACGCGGGAGTTGGAAGGCTCGCCAGAAAGCTTGGCGCAAAGACGCATGATAATCGGCACCAAGGACATGAGCACAGCCAGAGCCACACTGGGGAGAAGGCCAGAAACGACGCCCATGATGACGTCGGGGATCTTGTCGAGCCACGTAAGGAAGGAAACCTTCTTGAGATACGAGACTTGGGAGATAATTCCGACCACTGTGACGGGAATAGCCCAGAAAATGATAAGTGCGCTGATGAAGGCAATAACGGCATAGCGACGGATAACGCGCTGCCACCAAGATACTCTGAGAGACTTCCAGATGACCTCAGTAGGCTGGATCCCAATGTACTTGGGCGTCATCTGAAGAGCTTGGTGATGAGTGGTAACCTGGTAAGCAGCCTGGGCGTCGGATTGGGTGTAGAACTCTGCGAACACAGCCGGAACTTTCTTGGCCTTTCCAGCACGGTAGTCGGCTTGAGCGGCATCGACGGCGGGAATAAGGCGCTGGAGCTCGGAACGGCACCATTCAATGGTATCAACCTTCTTTCCAATGAGGCCCAGGAGACCAAGGCGGTGGGTAGGGCGCTTCTTCTGGGGGATCCAACGAGCAGCGGCATCGGAAGCGCCAGCCTCGGTGTCTTGAGCCGAGGGAGTTTTCTCAGGAGCACCACCCTTCTTGGCAGCCTTGAGACGAGCGGCATTTGCCAACTTGATGAGCTTCACCTGGGCCTTTTCGAGCTTCATGGCGACCTTGTCACGCTCCTCAACGAGATCGTCCAACTTCTCGGTGTCGCCAGTGATCCAAACTCTCTTGATCGAGTCGCTGAAGAGTTTCTTGAACTTGGCTTCATCAAGGTACTCGTCGGGGACTGATACGAAAAGGACAGTGCGAGACGAGATTCGCTTAGAATAGGTGGGCGAAAGCAGGAAAGCCTGACGCAAGTTGATGTAGAAGATGCACTCGCGCATGATCATGTACATGACGAAGCCATAGAATAGCCAGCCAATGAGAGCATGTGCGTACAGGCGGTTGAGTCCAGAGGAGGATGCGACGTCGATGTTGCTGTAGGTCAAGATGTCGAGCTGCTTGGCGGTGCCTCCGCCGGTAGCATTGACGGGGAAGAGGACCGGCCATGTCATAACAAGGCCGACCAGGCAGATGGTGGCACAGATACGGAGGAATCGAAGGAAGAGATAGGAATCGAGAGACTGGTGCTTGAGGGCGTAGACATCAGGTATCTTCCAAAAGTGACTAAACCAGTTGAACAAGCCACTGGGCAGACTTGGTGATCGCTCGCTGTGAGGCAGTCAGGATTTGAGACTCATCAAGACACAAGAATTCCCACGCACCTCTCACGCAAACTGCCAAGATAAGTTCTCGGGGCATAAAATCGCCTTTGGCTGCGGCGAAGGATCAAGAAGATGACGAGGTAGACGCCGGCAATGGGAGCGCAGACGGCTAGAGTACTGACGAGGCCGGAAATGGAGCTGCCCGAGGTATCGTCGAGAGCCTCGCCGCGGTTGGACTGGCCGCCTTCGGCATCGCCAAGACCCGACATGATGGCGTCTAGGCGAATTGAGACGCCTGGTGGTCGTTTCGGTTGTTGGTGTTTGTGTGTGTGCTGGGACAGAGTTGAGTCGAGAGAGAAGACGCGAGGTCAAATACGGTGGGGGTCCCTGGGGCCAAGTCGGGTATTAAACAGGGAAGGGTATCGAGGGTCGTGTGCGGTCGTGGAGAGAGACTCAGACAGGCGAAGGGCCGTGGACACTGGAGTCTGAACCTGAGCAGTGGGTGGGAAGAGAAAAGAAGGTCAAGGGACAGGGGGTTAAAAAAGAAGCAGTGGAAGGGGGGAAGGGTGGGGGATGATATGTGTGGTGCGCGTTGTTGAAAAACCGGGAGTTGGGAAATGAGACGATGGGTTCGTAGCTTGTCAGGATGCTGGGATGGGCCAGGCCGAGCGTCGATCAGTTACACAAGCGACGAGGTGCCCAGAGCTCTGAGGTAACTGATTGCGCGCTGGTGAGGTGAGGTAGTGCGGTGCGCTTGCGGGCGATGGTTTGCTATGGTCTGGACTTCTGGTGGTGCGGTGTGCTACTGCTTTGGATACTTGGTGCAAAGCTGCAAAGGGGGTACGTCGAACCGCAAGAGAAGAGCAGAAGCAGAAGAAGCAAATAGTGACGTGACCGTAAAGTGATGGTAGTTGGGGGAAATTGGGCGCGTCTCCCAATGTCTCAGTCCCGTTGTGCTGAAAGGAGGTGACGCCACAAGACAGCACTAGGGGCAGTGTTAGTCTATCTTTTCGTGCCCCCTTCTATTGCCTATGATTGCCGCTGTTGCTGTCACGACTGTTGCGCCAGCTCAAGTCGAGTCTAGTGTAGCTAGAACGATGGAGATGGGGGAGTAGAGCATGGAGGGTTTCTGGGGATGAGAGAAGGAATTGTCGATCGAGCCGAGGGAGCTTACCTTCGATGAAGCGATGAAGGGCTGCAGGCAGGAAAGAGGTTGGTCACGACGCAATAACAAGCAGATCTTGGTGGAGAATGATGGGCAGACCGACAGATGGATGGAGTCGTTGGATAAAGTCTGTGGCAGGAAGTGATCCACGAGTCGTAATGCCTCTTCACTATCGAATGTCTGCAGTCCGATATCTCTATCTGGACAATGCAATCCGAAAGCTTGAGATGAATAACAACACCCTTGATCCGATGAGGGGTCGTCGTCGTCCCTTATTCTTATTTTCAAAGGGTCCTCTGTCTTCTCAAACAAGCCCTCCCACTGACCAGGAAGGAGGCACACAGAGACGAAGCATGAGAGGGAGGCCACCGATAGATTCGAATTGAGAATCCCAGTTCGGCGTGGCCTAGAACGGGTTGTCACCCATTCCACACTGGTATGCCGCTGGTGCACGACACACACCAGCTGAAGACAGCTACATTGGGCCCTCCTCTTGGACCACCGTCAGCAGTGAAGGCCGACTGGGTACTGCTTGTTCATGCAATCGAGTAAAGCCTCACCTCACATGCAAAGATTGCTCCCTCACAGTGCCGGGACAGATCGTGTTGGTGGCGCGGGCAAGGGGAAACGAGGCGCGGAGGTGGTGTGTTCCAGGTTGAGCTGTCGGCAGAGCCACCGTCTCAATGGACGCTGGACGCGGGGCAGGGTTTGGAGTAGCTAGCAAAATGCCAGCCAATGCCAACTATGACGCAGACACGCAGCGCCAATCCAACTCGACCAAGCCCATGCAACTTGCAAGTGCATTGTCTTCTCTGAGTGCACACCAGGACTGCAGGTAAGGTAGGGAGAAGTACTGCACTACTGCGTAAGCGTGGTAAGAAACATACACAGTAGAAGTCCCTTCGTCCAGACAGGGGCTAGCTCAATGTGAATGTGCCATCTTGGAGGCAGGAAGAGGTCAAGCCAAACCTGCAAACCTGCACCTTCCCAACTTCTGGCCCCACTTCTATCTCAAAGTTGGGCATGGAAAGTTGGATCCCCTGGCAGCTTCCTGGTGTCGATGCGCCTGCCATCCTGGGAACGGAAACGCACCTACCACCAGGTGGGTCCCTTTACAGCCTATCGACAATTCCTGGCCACTCGAGGTGAAGTGGGTCGGCTGAACACTGCATGCGACGCTTCCTGATTGGCCGACGTCTTTCTAACTGGAAACCATCTCTCACGATTCAACGATGCCATTGCCGGTTTGTGGGCACTGCCAAATCTTTTTTGCTTACTTTTTGATTAAATCTCTTTTTCTTCTCGAGCTAGGTACCGTATTCTTCAAATTCTGTACCCAACTCGAGGGTCTAGGTTGCCATCCAGTAACAAAAGTCTGCAAAGTACGGAGTATGAATACCTACCTACACAGTCGTGGTTTTGGCTCCCTCCCGTCTGCACCTTCCCTCGGTGACCTCCAGAGGCTCAGACACCATCAAGGTCCGTTCATTCTGACGCACCCAAACATTCGTCGCTTGTCTTGGGATGCGTTCATCTCTTTGACTTCAAACGGTCTGGTATGGTCTTCACTCTACTCCTTACAAGTCGCATTTCCTCCTTCTTCCTCTCTACCGCTACCGACCTGTCCTGATTCACGCGGCTCACTGCCCGGAAACACCGTGGTCCACCAGCCCTGCCGTCCGCCGGCAGCGTCGCAGCCAACAAATGAGACCCCCGGCAGACACCCAAAGTGCGCTGGCTGAGATTCCCGGTTTTCACCACTTAAAATCTCGACTTTTATCCTTCCCGCTGCAGGGCTCGTCGCGGTTTTACAGGGTCTCCGGCCAATTGCTGCGGGCGGTACCACATCAAACCCCATCAAACTGGCCTTCAGACGGCCAACTCTTGAATATTCAAACCTCCATTTTATCATGCTTCACGGCATCTTCCCCGACCACCGCCAATTCTTCCTCGAAAGTTCTTGGCCCTTCCAACGTTTGAAGCTTTTTTTTTTTACCCGGCGACACGGCGAGCGGCACGAGTAACGGCAGCCACCCGGCACCAAACCTACCGAGTGACATCAACGTGCTTGGCTTGGCTTCCTCGGCCGAGTGAGCGACGTACCTACCAGAAAATACCCCAATTCCGCCTGCCCACTGACGCAATGCCCTCATGTTTGTCCATGCTATCGACAAGCTACGCACAATCCAGCATCCACTTCCGCGCGGCTCTTGCGCATCCCGTTCGAAAACGTCGATAACATGACAGCCCTCAAGATACCCCAGAATAGACGGTTTACACACCGGCCGGCTGGGCAGCCCTTCGTAGGCGTCATCGAAAATGCCATGCCCGTATGGACTTTGGCATTCGCGCACCTCCAAATCGCTATAGCTCTATGACCCAACGCACCGGTGGTCTTGGAAGTCGGGGCACCGAGACGAAGGATGAATGATGGGATCTGTGCCACTTACCGTCTCTCGAGTCTCGACGAATGCTGCCAATTTCCTGCTCTGGAACGCTTCGCTGGACGCCCACCCATGTTTTCTTCCCTAGCGCCGATGGTCGCCCACCCCAAACCGCATCCGGACGTCCTATCAACCTGCATCGGCGCTACTCTACCAGAAAATCTCAAATCCTCCACAGTTTGACACCCGTCCCCATGCTACCATTGACAGACCATCTCCTCTAGGATCCCTGCTCGGCTGACGAAGGAAATTGTGTCTCCGGGAGAAACGCACATGGTGGACCAGCGGCCAGTCGAGCCCAGGACCGGTGAGCCACAACACCACGAGAGACAAAGCCGCACCGCCTGAGAATCAAGACAATCCACCAGCCACTACTGTAACATTGTATCTACGTACACGGTACTCCGTACTCTGTATAACGTTTGACGACAGTAGCCGCCCGTGGCCCTCTAAACACGGCCCACTGCCGGTTGCACCGTTTCGAGACATCTTTATTTGTTTCCAGCTTGCGCGCCAAACGGCCAAGGACGCGCATTCTGGAATGCCACGACGCCGATGACAGGTAGGCAATGCCGCCAACAATGCGGCATCGTCCCTGGCCGAAGAGTGATCAGCCCGATCAGGGCAATCTACAGTCCTCAGCATCATCTGCATGTTTACAACTCATCAGCCTGCATAGCTGGACATTACTGCACCTCTTGCAGGTTCGCTTCCCACGTGCGCACCCGCAAGCTGACCGGCCGCATTTCGACCGGCCCAGGCCCCCATACCGCACTCGACCCCTTCATCAAACATCCCGGACGACTTCGCCTCAATTCCGGACCTCTCCGTTGAGAAATGGGAAACGCCAACCTAGGCGGCCGTTCTAAACTCTATTAATTGAAGGCTCCGTTCGGGACTACGCCCGATAAACAACCATTGGCGATACTGCTAAGCAGCAGGAAAGCAAGCACACTTGCCGATGACCGGATAAGACGAACTTCAGCCTGGTTTTTAGACTCATGACTACGCTTAGAGCCGGTCCAGCTAGTGCTGCCTGAACGAAGCCATCCAGAGGCCGTGGACTGCACATGGCTTTACAGTTCCGATCCCTTCGACACTTTCAGATATGTGGTCTGATCTAAAATACACTTTCCCATCTTACTGAAGTAACGAGGCTTGTCTTTCCAGAGCAAGAGTACATTACATGCCTTGCTACTGAATCTTAAGGTATGCATGTGCCTAAGGGCGCCAACATTTGGGCATCTCGATCTGCAGGACGATGGTCACGTTGCTCCAAGATGTCATTGTCTAGGTGTTGTTGCCTGGCTTTTCAACGAGGTCGGTTGAAGTTTCATGGTTCATTTTCTCAGTTCTTATTGCTCATCCTTGCTCAGACATTGTAGACAAGTGACGATCTTGGGACAAAGGAAGGATGCCGCCTTCCCCTAGATTAGAGGATGATAAAGGCTGTCGTCTCAGACAAGACATCACCTCCATACTCTGACAATGAAGGAAAGTCGCATTCATATGCCATGAATGAGAGCTATCATTGTTCCCGACTTAGACCAACATGAAAACCAAGCGCAGCTGTTGTTTGTCTGATCAATGTTGAGCTTGCCATTGGAAACCTTTCCATAGTCTCTTTGTTCCAATAATTCCATCAGGTGCCACCACTATGAAAAGCCCATTCCTTCCAATCGACAGCATTGATAATAACTCATTGCCTCAAAGATGGCCTTCACCGGTACCGTCACGTTGTTCAACCTTCCATCTCATCAGCTGGCTTTCCCACTGCACACCAGAGTTTCTCTTGAGATTTACACTTGACCAAACTTCTCATCATGGCCTCCTTCCAAGCTCGCCTGCCAAAGACACCATATGCCGACGCCTACCAGTCTCGCTACATTGAGGAGATCCTTTGCCTAGGTGGCGGGAATGAAGACGCTCCAAACGGTCCATATGCCGAGATGGATACTGAACTTCTGGGTCACGTCAACTGCAGCTATCTCTCAACACATGGACACGCGCCTACGCTGCTCGCCCTCAAGCAACACGCGCAAGCGCTGACCATCCTGATTGCCCAGCTCGCGCCGACATCTCAGTACGCCGAGGTGGACAATGAGAACAACAACGAGGGCCGCATCCAAAAGTCGTTTAGAGACAACGAGGCCTTTGACTGGCTCAACGACTTGCAGAAACCATACACAAACGAAGACGAGTGGCACAACAAGCCCCTGACCGACCTCATGAACCTGGTCCAGCACGAGTCCGACACCCAGGGCACCGTCCACCACTGCCCCCTTCACGAATTCAACCAAGACGAGGACAAGCGGACCAAACCCCGCCCCTACGCCACGCACACCGCTCTGGCCTCCCACGCAAACGAGTGTCTCGAGATGCTGGACCACGAGTACGGCGCCACGGGCGGCCTCCTCTCCCTCCTCCCGACCAACGAGGACCGCGACTCGGACGAGATGGCCGCCGTGCGCAATAGTCTCCTCGGCCAGTGGCTCCTCTACACCCAGCACCTCGTGGCGCGCATGCACGACCTCGAGCTCGGCTACGCCAACGCGCTCGACGTCACCGCGGGCGAGGCCGCCGTGCCGATGCAGATGCTCTCGAGGATGGGGCCGGACGCCGCCTCGGGCCGCGAGGTGGCGTATCCGCAGGACAAGTGGATCCTCGCCAACGCGGGCGACGACGTGTTTGACTTTTTGCACCGCGTGCTGGACAGGCAGGAGGCGCAGATTGAGCAGAAGAGGGAGGCGTGGGCGGCGAACGGGACGCACGGGGAGCGCATGTGGAACGAGCAGCGAGGCGGGGATCTCTACGCCCGCGGGCTGGTGTTCTACGACGTCAAGACGAGGTATTACAGGCTGGCGGGCAAGGGGAGCAAGAGCACCATCTTCGTGCTGCCGGCGCACGGGGAGCACCCTGCCGTGCAGCAGACGCGGCGGCTGGAGGTGACGCCGACGGTGGTGTCGGTGGTGGCGCCGAAGTGGCCTGCGCGGGTGTCGGACTGGGAGAGCAAGTACAAGAACAAGCTGGACGAGGCGACGCGGATGGGGATTCAGAATCACCGGTTGACCAGTGCGGGCGAGGCGATGAAGGAGCACAATGAGATGTTGGCGACGGAGCTCGATAAGGCGAGATTCATGAACGAGCAGTTTGAGAAGTACTACGGACGGTCCGAGGTGGCGGAGGGGCCGAGGATGTTGGAGAGGGCGGTGTCGATCTTGCAGAGGGACGTCAAGGATAAGACGGATGAGATTACAGGGCTGTTGAATATGGTGAGGGAGGTGAGGGATAAGTTGCCGAATCAGTTTGCGGGGTTGTTTGATGATTTGTTGGAGTTGAGTGAGGAGGAGGTTACTGCTGATGCGGGTGGCGAGGCGGCTGAGGAAGATGTGGTTTGACTGATGTTTGGGTGGTAAAGTGTGTAGATGAATACATGGACGGGGTTGTACAAGTATGGACTTTGATAGATGGTGTTTTCTTGAATAAGTGTTGATACAGAGGTAAGGTAACCTCGTTGAGCATCATGTTACTCAAAGGTCCGCCAGTTGCCACATGAATAAGAACCCTTTTTTGTTTTTCACCAAGGTAGGTAAGGTACCAACGATACTTGAGGTCTGATTTCTCTTAAGTTGACCAGAGCTGGTTGGATTTTGGGAAAGCCAACGCTTTGAGAACGTCTCTTTGAGCAAAATGAATTTTCTTGTC